TGCCTGCTGATTCTGACAGATGAGTTGAATAACATTCTGCTGTAATCAGTGCAACATAATTTGTCGCTATTTTTTTCTAAGCATTCACAACTATTTTTCTAGAGGGTTTTTAATGAAGCCAGCACATGATGACAGACTCATAAGTGGGCTTTATCTGCCAAATAGCTTCATGTATTTTATTTTACGTATTGCTAATACTCTGTAAAATTAAACATGACTTGCTAATAATAAGTCACTGTGAAAAATGACAGACTTCTTTTCGGCTGGAAATCAGTTCACAGCAAAATATTCAGTAAGCCTGACCCCATTCTTCATGGGTTCACAACTAATGTTAGTAAGATAATAATACTTACGGAAGAGCCCAGACACTGTCATACTTCAGAAATCAGCTGAAGTAGTTAGTAGTAATGGGAGACAGCTTAGAGAAGTTTCATATAGCTGTTGTACTTCTCTGCACCCCAAAGGGCTGCTCCTCCTGGGAGAAGAGCACATGCACATAAACAGTTAGTAGGGAAAAAGGGGCAGGCATTGTCCATCTTGTACGCCTCCTACAAGCTGTGAGTTTTCTACTCCACACACACTACTACTTCTAGATAGAAGTGACTCGCTGACACCAAGCTACAAATCTGTGATGTCCAGCAGTCTTCAGATCAGGGGATCAATTGTCCTAGGAGATTTTCCCTGTTCAGATAAATCCTTCTATTACCACAAGCTTTTTTCTTGGTGAATGATTTGCTTACTGTGGGCAGCTTCTGGAAATCTTCTGTGTCCCAATCTTTGAGCCTCTAACAGTCTTTCTTTGGAAAGGCTATGTAAATTCCTAGTCCTAAGATATCTAGGATAGTCACCACTTCCAAGCATGCAGCTAATACATACGTATAATATAAATAAGTATTACTGCATGCTTATACAGGCCACCAAACTCACCACAGGAGAGAGGTGCTTGCTTGGAGCCATTCATATGTTTCCAGATGGAACAAGTGAAGTTAACCTCAGCAATGGTGCAGGTGCCGAGTGAGTCGTATGGAACTGTGTTTACTGAATAACATTCCTTTGCTGACTTTGTCCCCTTGTGCAGCCAGCACATGTAAGTTAATATGCTGGGGTTCAACCCCTCCTGGGCAGCAACAAAAATGTCAAGTTCCAATTAGTCAAAAACTTGCAATTGTCTTGGTGACAGTAAAGGACTGAAGCTACTGGTATCATTGCACTTACTTGGAGAGTGTACAGCTGACATAAGCACAAGAGCCTCTAATGTGTACAGAATGTGTACTTTTATTGGTAAGGAATAGGTCCAATCTCAGGAAAGCAGGAAAGATGATTAAAAATAACCCCAACCAAACCAAAACAAATCAAACCAAACAAACAACCCCCCCCCAAATTTGCTCTGAAAAGTATTAGAGGCCAGTACACATAGAACCATGGCATTCATTAGTTTCAGGTAGAACCACACTGGAAAGAACTCTTTAATGAGGCATTATGTCTTCACAGTTCTTGGTGAAGGTTTCTTTTGCCATTTGTATTCTGTATAGACCACATACAATGCTACAAGCCTACCTTGCTTTGTTACAATATATATTTCAGTTAGCATTAACTAACTACAAGCCAACAAACCAAATGCTTGGATCACCATCCTTTTAAAACATGCTTGCTCGAAAATGACTTTGTGTTTTTGCTCACAGGAGGAAACTGAGTGTCCTTCATCTCTCTCTGTTATCAAAGAGAGGACAGCAGGGGAAACTCTGGAGGATGATTTCTTCCCACCTGATGATCTGTCTTCTGATGAAGAATATTATATTGAAGAAGGCAAAGCTGCCCAGTTCAAGAAATCAGGCATGAGGCGCATAGATGATATCAAAAAGGCGTTCTCAAGGGAAAATATCCAAAAGACAAGGCAAAATTTTGGCAAGAAGGTAAACAGGCTTCGAACTAGAATAGTGACTCCTGAGAGGAGAGAGAGGATCAGGCAGTCAGGAGAGAGACTGAAACAATCTGGGATAAGGATCAAGAAAACCATTTCACAAGCTGCCCCAACAAAGGAGACATTCAAGATCCATAAAAAAAGTAAAGAACGAACAGGAGCCGAAGGTCAGGAAGGGATCCAGGAAGCTGGTGTGCACATCGCCTCTGAGCTTGCAGCAGCAGAGCCTTTCACTGAAGAAATCTCTTACACAGAAGTGATCACTAAGGTAAAGAAAGACAAGAATAGTGCAACAAAAGGTGCTTCCCAGACAACTGAAAAAGGAGTGACAATCCCAGAAGTAGTTCTTAAGCAGGAAGGAAAAGAGGGAGGAGGAGGTGATGATGTCCCTTTGCTAGACTTACAGCAATCGGCATATGGAATCAATTAGCAAACACCCCATACTACCCTTACTGAACAAGAAAGAACACAGTATGTATTCACTCAGCTTTAGAAAAATGTGTGAATTTGTATTATACCACAAAACATGTGTTGGTGTTGTTCTACCATTTACATGGGTGTCTCTAGTGTTGTCTGCCTGACAAAAGCCAAGCCATGCAAACTGAATGAAGGGGCTCCCCCTCTGTCTTGCAATGTGCCAATAGCCATTATTAACCCAAATGGAACTCACATGTCAAAGGAAGATGGAAATCTGCTGGATTTTCAAGATTGACTTAGCAGTCACTTACTGCTTAATCACCCTCTTTAGTTTTACGTATATTGGGATAAAAATTACTTCCATTATCTTATACCAACTCCTGTAATCAGAAAACAGTAACAAAGCTATTGTTTCATATTACTAAATGAAAGAACTATGGAAAATGTCCATTTAGCTATTCAAATCTTTTCATTTAAGGGCCCACATTGAAATAGCCAGAGGAAGAAATTCCTGCTTTATCCAGGGTGTGACAAAATATGTCAGGAATGATAGGGTTTTGTGTAAACTGTGTTTCTTCTCAGTGGAAAAGAGAAGCTCCTGAAATGACTAAAGATTATTTCTGGACTTCTGGAAGAAGAAGGTTTGATGTATGTAAGCAATGCATTTTCTGCACTTATGAAGTAAGAATAAAAAAGCAGAAGACACATTAAATATGATTAGCAGGAGGAAAGAGAATAAGGTATCATATTCATGTTTTGGAAAGATGTGATTGCAAGAAAGGCAAAGGTATGAAGCAGTAAAAAAGGAATAAGGTTAATGCATGGGTTCTGGATAAATAGAGAAAAAATGGAATATTGTAACTTAATATAACTGAAGTTTCCTCAAGGTCTTTTAAAGGATTGTTACTTTATCCAGAGGATCATGGGGCTTATGACCATAACTGACCAGATAAGGGAAATTGCTTGGTTTTCATTCTCCGTGCTTTTTCTGAGCTTCACTGCAATTAAAATCTATTCTACAAAGCCGCTGAAGTACAGGGCCAATCTATAACCCAATTCTTTGTTTCCTATCATCATTGTTATCGACCAGCCACAGCCTCAGGGATTATGAGACAGACACCCTTTGGAGTATGGAATGCTGTTTATTTGCAACACTCGGGAGCCAGTGCCCTGACATCAGATATGCTTGTAAACATGACCGCTACACTGACATGAGGTGCAGGACTGTATTGCTCTCTTCATTCTCAAATGGAGTTGCCTTCAAAGCACTTACCTAAAGCAATGTTAGTCATTACTATCTGTGTGAAAGAAACTTGTACAATATTGCCAAAAGCTGTATGATTGTATTTATTATCTTGAATTCACTTTAACAGCAGTGCATACCTTGGTTATCTATATACATTGTTCAAGGACTTTCAGCTAATTGTTAATCTACAATTTAAATATAACTAGTTTGATTTCAAACATTCTGCCTGCCAGTTCCTTTATTTAGCCCGGTGTACATCACATTTGAAGTGGGACAGCTTTAGCAATAGTAACTAGGGACCATTGGTTGGGGAAAGTCAATGTTATACTGTGCCAGTGACATTTCAAATCAATGTTGTCAGATTGGAAGCAGCAACTCCACTGAATGGAAGGGCGGGATAGGGCAAGAGAGGGACACGGAGAGAGGAAGATGTTTCAACAGTAAATTGTACATCTTCACTGTACTGTAATTACATGCAAAAAGGAAGAAATGTTTTGCTTATAGGATAGACTGGAGGGTTTGATTGGTTGGTTTTTTTACTAGTTATAGGAAGTCTTTTCTGGAACCAGGTGACTGTATGTTCTTCTTCCAGTTCCATATAAAACTATCTGTAGCTATCTTCAGTGAAATACTGTCATTTGTCTGGTTCTTCTATAATTTGACCTGCATCTGTTCTGCAAGATTTGACTTTTTCCTAAACACATAAACAGGGTTTAGTTACTGAAATGAAAATGTCAAAGTTCAAAAAGCTATTTCTCTGCCTTTTTATACGAGAACAGTAAGTGCTAGAACATGATCGCCCATAGATTTTCTTTATGTAGCATATAATTTTCTTATTTTACTTCACAAAGAAAGGAAGTGATGAAGTTTCCATGAAGTTCATCATGTAGCACTGCATATAACCTCTATCAAATATGTATTTTTTAATATTTATTTCTAACCTTAATTGTTCAGAGGGAGTTCTTCAGGTGTGCAAAGCATTTCAATGTATGCTCTTCACCTGAAGTGATTATCGATGTTACTGACTTGAATTTTACATCTACCAAGAGCCCAAAGTTAATTTACTCCATATTCCCTCCTACAGGTAGCGGATGGGGAGATTTCATGGTTTAAGCCCAGCTGGTAACTCAGTACCACACAGCCGTTTGCTCACACCTTCCCATTTTCCCCCTCTGGGCTGGATGGGGAGGAGAATTGGAAGAATGTAAAC